ACAGGTGTATATGGTTTTAAATGTCAAACATTTAACATGCATGTTACCATAAAAAAACTCAGTGATGAGTTTGTGAGGCTATTTTAGCCACCAACACCGATTTTAAGATTATGTATCTGCACTGGTGAGAATTGCTGAGCTGGCAAAAGCCAGACATGTAACAGGAAACTTCATTCTTCATCCTCTTAGAGGTGTTAAATACATGTTTATGGCCCATAGGAAAAATGGGTGACCAAGAAGGCACATCATGTGAAAGACTGGGTTCCAGTGATTTTCTGGAACAGGGATATGCAGACCTCAGTCACAAATCAGGCTGATAAGGAGATGTTGTATGCAACATGCAAGGCAGTGTTTAGTCCATCTTAAGGTCTTGGTCTTGCTTCTATTTAACTCAGTCTCACATTCATGTGCTAGCAGCCAGCTTCTGTTAGCTGCAAGCATGGATAGGTTGCAAACTTTTTGACTAGCTATGTATTTCTAAAGACCCCAGGAGCTCTGATTGGTGCACTGAGGGCTTAAACACTGTGCAACTGAGACCAGCAGCTTTGCAGAGACATGTGACTGAGGAGAATGGAAGGTGTCCCTTATGAAAATGTCGTGTCTTTTCCTTCCATGTTGAAATGCTCACAATGCTCATTTAGCTCAGGAAAGTTACTGTTCTAGCAGCCTGAATAAATAAACAGCTGAAGATCTCGAGAGCCAGAATTTAATCAGCAGGTTTCCATGGTTGATTTTTAGCTGAATGATCCTACTAGTGAAATGGTGTAGATCAACAAGCCGAAGACAGGAAATCAGCCAAGATTCTCTATCTCTATTCTAATTGAACTCAGTCAGTTGCCAAGAAACTCTACAGATTACAGGCTTGAAAATGGATATGTTCAAACTTGCCTTTTTCCACTTGATTTCTATTGGAACCAATGCCTTCCCAGCAATTTTCCAAAGGCCCTATCAGAAAAATTTAGACTTTTTTCTCCTGATTGTTCAATAAATGATGCTATGCCCTATATAAAATGCACTGTTTAAATTCTTGTCCTACATACTAAATAAACAATTTATTTTTGGGCATTTTTATGGCTTCCAGTGTTGCAGCATCAAAGTGCTTCAGAAACACCTACAAATTTCTTATTTGCAGCCTTCCTCTTATATAAAGATTATTTAACCCCATATTACAAAGAGGAATGTGAGGAATGAAGGCCCTGAGTTACCTAGTACCTAATTTCTAAAAGCATTTGGCATTAAATAAAATGTTACTCTTTCAAAGCCACATTTCTATTGTCCATATCTGGATTTGTGAGCACTCAATACTCTGCAAGTCAGATCCAGATATCTTTTAATAAGTATTTGAAAATTAGGAACTCAGAGTTGGTGCCTGTTTCTGAAAGCTTAACCCCTTTAAACCAGATTTGAAACAGAATTTCAAGCTCTGTAAGATAAGCATCACATGGGTGGAAGGATGAAGGCTTAGGCATCTCAGAATGGGATCTGAAATAGTCAGAAAAATTATAAGGAACAGTGTGAAGTCAGCACCCTTCACATACCACACACATAGGTCATTCAGTACAGACAGAGGATGAGTCTTAAAAACATGAAAAATTGGGGGAACAAATAGTAATTCTCACAGAACTTACTCTCACAGGGAAACTACAGGGAGACCTGAACCTTCAACCACTTTCCTAAAGTTCCTTTTATTAAAATTCCCTGTTGCCTTTTTCTGGGGCCTAAATATAATTTGCTACAATTTTTCAAGATAGTTGATAGAAGAAAAACACTTCCCTTCTCTTCCCTGTCTGAACAACAATTCAGTAGTTAATTTCAGGAAATAGATGCCTTAAGCTGCCCTCCAAGTCTGACCGTGGGAGTTAGATTATCTGAGCTGGAGATTGCTTTAGCCACAAAGCTTCTGGTTACTGCCCATCTTTCATCAGAGATGCACACTAAAAAATTATCAATACAACAACTCAGAAAAGATGAAAACATCATGAAGTAGGGCAAGAGATTCTCTCATCTAGTGACAAAGGCAGCCATCAAGTAAGTGCACATGGCCTGGAATCTACTCTTTAGTTTGGCCTCTGGAGTTATCCAGTGATTACTGTCAAACTGTCTCTGAAGACAAGACTAGAGATAAGGTCTTTAGCCTTCCAGCTGAATGGTTTTTCAGGCTTATGACCTTTTTTGTCTTCTTTTGCTTGCTGTTCCAGCTTCTACTGGCTGGGTGCAATTCAGCCCAGCCCATAGTTCTAGCATACTACCTAGGAAGGAGGTGGATAAGCCTTTAAATACTTTCAAAAGAACAAAGTTGAATGCGCACACTCTTTCTCCTAGGAGTATGCTTTAGACATCACATGGGTGGAAGGATGAAGGCTTAGGCATCTCAGAATGGGATCTGAAATAGTCAGAAAAATTATAAGGAACAGTGTGAAGTCAGCACCCTTCACATACCACACACATAGGTCATTCAGTACAGACAGAGGATGAGTCTTAAAAACATGAAAAATTGGGGGAACAAATAGTAATTCTCACAGAACTTACTCTCACAGGGAAACTACAGGGAGACCTGAACCTTCAACCACTTTCCTAAAGTTCCTTTTATTAAAATTCCCTGTTGCCTTTTTCTGAGGCCTAAATATAATTTGCTACAATTTTTCAAGATAGTTGATAGAAGAAAAACACTTCCCTTCTCTTCCCTGTCTGAACAACAATTCAGTAGTTAATTTCAGGAAATAGATGCCTTAAGCTGCCCTCCAAGTCTGACCGTGGGAGTTAGATTATCTGAGCTGGAGATTGCTTTAGCCACAAAGCTTCTGGTTACTGCCCATCTTTCATCAGAGATGCACACTAAAAAATTATCAATACAACAACTCAGAAAAGATGAAAACATCATGAAGTAGGGCAAGAGATTCTCTTGTCTAGTGACAAAGGCAGCCATCAAGTGCACATGGCCTGGAATCTACTCTTTAGTTTGGCCTCTGGAGTTATCCAGTGATTACTGTCAAACTGTCTGTGAAGACAAGACTAGAGATAAGGTCTTTAGCCTTCCAGCTGAATGGTTTTTCAGGCTTATGACCTTTTTTGTCTTCTTTTGCTTGCTGTTCCAGCTTCTACTGGCTGGGTGCAATTCAGCCCAGCCCATAGTTCTAGCATACTACCTAGGAAGGAGATGGATAAGCCTTTAAATACTTTCCAAAGAACAAAGTTGAATGTGCACACTCTTTCTCCTAGGAGCATGGTCTAGAGGAGGAGTTACACTATTTTCTACTCTTTGACCTTTTGAAAAGCAAGTACTTTTATTTGTAAAGAAGAAAGAGTTTCACTGGCATTCTTTAAGCATTCTCCTTGGTGGCACCGGACCAACTTCCTCAGTCCTGTCAAAATCCATTTGTTCATATAATTACTAATGGGTATCTTCTTTATTTTTGTCTCTAAGTATCTTAAATGCTGCTATCTTGTGTTATAAGAAGCAAATACTATGGTATAATCCCCCAGTACTCAGAGGCTGCATCAGAATTTTCCCTGTTCAGAGCTGAAGCTCTGAAGTTCCATCCTAGCTCCATTTCAAGCATTTCACATTTATCCCTTTCTTAAAAAGGTGACCTTTTCTCAGCATCACAAAAGCTTTTATCAGCATTTACTTTCAGGTAGAATCAGTGGCAGAATCATATTTCCCAGAACATTACTCAATCACAAAAATCACAAAGCTACTTTGCTTTTTCCTGTAGTTCTACATCTCAGTCAGCATGTGTCCTCCAGCAGCAAGTATATCAGAGCTGAGCAATGAGACAGGAAATGGTCTTCCACTAAACAGATTGTTCACTGATTTTTTGTGCTGAAGTATCATTCTGTAATATTTACCCTTAGGACTCTGAGGAGTATACCACCTGCACAAGGGAGATTTGACTACATGTAAAGTATGTCAATATTAGTAAATTTAACACTGTCAGAACAGATAATGAAACTCAACTGCTGGGCTGCTACAGTTCTGGCATGGTTTTGTCTTACACCCTCAAACAACTCTGAGTCACAATCAACTTCTTGTATAGTTCAGGAGTTATGACAGACAAAAGACCATCCCAGAAAAAGAAGTTTGGATGCAGCCATCATATTATAGAGGCTGAAAACAGTTATTAAAGATGTGTGAAATATGCTAAAGATCAGGATATGACTGGTCCCAGCAAATGTGGAAAGTTACTGCTGGGTAAAAACATATTCTGTGTAATGTAATTTTCTGCTGGGTAAAATAATTTTCTGTAGTCCACTAGAGGGTGCAGACACACCTGTGCTGCCTCCAAGATTCACTTCTATGTTTCTGAGATCTGAATATTTCAGGGGTTTCTCCAGAGTATTTGGGGGAATGACCTGAAAGAAGCAGATCTTATTCTACAAGTCCTCTACAAATCCACTTTCATCATCATCAGCATGTAACCCAAAGTCTCTCTTCCTCCTGTTAACTGCTCTCCAGATCCCACCCTCTGTCCTCATCTACCCCAAGTTTGTACTACCAGTTTTCCTTTTTTTGGTCTCATCCTCACCATTTCTGCTTACTTATCCACAGTTTCCTACCCTATCTCTCAGCACTGCCTGTGTTCCAGGGGGATTTCCCTTTGATCCCTGCACTGCTTGACTGTCTCAAGGTGAAGCAACAAAAGTACAAAAGGCTTATTCTCACAGCTTTTGACTGCTGAACCATTGTAACCCTAAAGTGGGGTCTACTTAGTGTGTCCAGGATTCTGGAGAACAGGATTTCAATTGGGCATGATTTAGTAAGTTTCAAAGACCAATCATGTTTTTTAGAAGTTAAGGTGGGGGGCGGGGGGCAGGGAAGAAAGAAAGAAAAAATCCTAACAAGATTATTTCTGCCTTTGTGCTTACTCACCTACTCAATGCTTGTGTTCCTGAATATTCCCTTATTGCCTCAGCAATTGCCTCATACATCTAAACTCTGCATGTAACATCCTGTCAAAGAAAATGCAAAACTTTTCATCTTAAATGTTGACCAGACTTACAGGCAGCTTCCTAAGGAATTAGTCTCGCCATCTTACTGCTGATGTTTCCGTGCTGCAGCAGATCAGATTTCCTCTATGAGTAAGATCTGCAGAAAGGAACAAACAAGAAATCTTTTAAGGAAAAAAAAAGAAAAAAAGGCATATCTAAAGATAATTACAAACAGTGACAGTGACAAGCATTGATAACATTTTCTATTTTCTTTCACGGACTTAAATATATGGTTCACTGGCTGTAAAATATACCTGTGCAGGACTACTAATGCTTCAGAATATAGACATCTGAAGATGAAGAGAAGATAAAAGAGCACATACTTCTTGTTTGAAGTACTTTGCTATTTTCCCTTCTCATTTTTGCAGATGTGAATCAGGTGCAGTGTATCTCACAGTAAGTAGCCCTAGCTGCTGCTTCATGACCATAGCAAGGTGTAATTTCTGTTCTTATTTCAAGACTTAGCATTGGGAGAGCAAGGATTTTCAATTCACCAGCTGCTGAGCCTGAATTCTTCATGCAGTAGTGTGAAAATGTGGTAAAAATGTGCAGCTCTTGATGACCCAACTTACAGATCCCTGGGCTCCAGCCTGAACAACTCTTGGACCCTCATCAGTCTGTGTGCAAAAAGGCAGAATCTCTCTGTTCAATTTATCAATGACAGATAAAACCCAGCATTTAATTATTGAGCTGTTACACAAAGCATACACAGATTTTTTTCTCTCTCTTTCTCTGGTATTTAGCTTTAGTTAAATATTCATCAACACTGAAAAACAAGACTATCAATGGAAAATTTCTGTAAGGACAAAAGGCTTCCAATCAAAAATATATGAAAAGAGACTGGATCAAACTGACATTACATGATTCAAAGATATAGAAAATTAATCCTGTGGGATATTTCTGATTGATTAGTAACCAAATTTAGACAAAAATTGGATTATATTACCCATTTAAAACCTATTTTAAGTAATAACCTTAACTCTCTCTCTGAGTCCCTCTCAGGTTTCTTGTGTATAAATAGAAAGCCCAAGAGGAACACCAGCTTGACTTTCCCATTTGAGAGCTGGCAGTAGAATAATCAAGCCAAAACAATAATCCCACAGACATTTAACTATAAATAGAGCTCATTTCATCCAGGAATTCTAGAGGTAGTAGTCAAGGTCCAAACTGTAATGTCATTTCTGTAATGTCAGTTTTCAGACGAGAACTACATTTTCAAGCTCCTTTTGTATGCTATGAAGAGCATGGGACCAGTGTCAATAAATATGCCTGATAAGAAAACCTCTCTTCTGTCCAACTGAAGGCTTTGCAAACATTAGTTACCAGCAGTGAACCCCCCTGAACTTCTGTTTCAAAACAACTTTTTATCAGGAAACTGTGCAAATGTGAAGTTTGTAAGTGGCAATACATGTGCACAACACCATTGTTGTTTTATTTAAGATGTGTGGTAACACAGTCTAGCTGTGCCTTCATTTTTGAGCAGGACAGGGGAGTCTACCACAAAAATAACTTGTGGCTGAGTTGTGTCTGGGTTTCTCCCCTCTGGCTGCTTGACCACAACGCAGCAGTTACTGTGGCAGACCAAAGTTGCTATATAATGAATGACCTTTCGGGTATTTGTTTTCAGTGCTGTTACACCTAACCACTGCACATAATATACGGCACCCTCCGACAGAGGAGTGCACCCTTTTCCGACATCAAACAAAGATACTGATGCTGAAAGAGAGCACTGAAAGCAAACATTTTATATCACCTGAGCTGGCCTTTTCTGCACTAACAGCCATCAAGCCTAATTATCTGTACAGGCAGACACATCTGAGTTGAACCCAAACCCACGCTGCAAGACAGAAGGTGAATATATGAACAATGGGTAAGATGCTGGTTGGTGACAGGGGATGCCTGGATTCAGTTTGCTCTTCCCACACAAAGCTACTGAGCGCTTTCCCTTGAGCCCCCCGTGCCTATTCAGTAACTGGGAAATATGACTGCAGAACTGCAGGCACACCTCAGCCTTCAGCAAAATATGGCACAGACTGCAAGAATTTACCAACTAAGGCCATACAGACCCATAAGGAACAGCAAACTGCTTAGCACTGATGTTCAAACTAAGACTAAGGCTGATGCAAATGCTTCTACCCCTGCCACAACCTCTTCCCTAGCAGAATGGTGACATGCTCTCTGGGTGTTTCTAAACTGACACAGCTGTTTGCAAGGGAAGACTGGGCTTCTTGATCAGATTGCCTGCACGGGGCAGCTGCAAAAACCAGGGCACAAGTCTGGCACCAGCAGAGATTCGTATTAAGTCCCCATCTGTAGATGCAGTGACAAAACTTCATGTGGATCATTGAGTCTGTAGAGCGTGAAATTCATTACAGAGGTCCAGTCACTACTCTAACAGCAATTTCACAAGTAAAGTGAGAATGATTTAGGAATGAAGTCCCAACGTGGATGGAAATTTTGTGTCTGAATCGAACCAATGCTGTTAAAAGTCCTAACTACGTTTTCCTGACTACTATGTATAAAATCCAGAAGCGTTTAAACGAAACATTCAAGGAGTCAATATCCAAACATTAAAACTGATAACAAGCAAAGAGTTAAAAACCCACAAATGCAAAAAAAAAACCTCTGAGTCTTAAAAAATCCACAAATGCCATACCGGTGTATGATTTTACTCAGGGATCAGCATGGCACATACCGTTTCCCTTTCTGTATGGTGACACAATGACAGCACATTATTACAATAACTTCCCCACAGATGTCTATTTTATGCTTGTTTCTGAACTGTTTTGTTATTAAACAAAACAAAAAGGTTTTCACACAAAGAATCTCTCTCCTTATCTATTAAGGGGTAATAAATGCCGTATGCTAAAGTGCACTATGCTGTGGGACTTTCTTCTGGTGCCTGTCTGAGTTCAGCTTTTATGCATCAAAAGACCCTGATGAAATGGTATAATTTTATGATATTGTTCCAGAGTCACTTCTGTGTGCATGTTGGGCTGTTGCATGTTAAAAACCACCAGAGCAGTCTCAGGATGAGACATGACTCGCAATAGCCAAAGATAGATATCAGATCCAGATTTACAACTAAAACTAGTCCAAAATTGTCCGGGTTTGATTTTTCTTCTGTCCCCCAATATTAGAAGCTCATTCTTCCTCTTTTTCAGAGTTAAAGACACACGATGATTATTACTACTGTCCTCACTAAAGCAAACTGTATACGTGAGAACTCCTTATTTTCTTAGTGGCTCCTGCAGACTGAACTCCTTAAAACTGGTGATAAGTTTTCTTGCTCTTTTACTGCAGTATTTGCTGTAATAATTCTGACTTCTAAATACATGCAACATAATTTCTTAATTATCTTTGCTCTATTATTAAGCCATACAGTTCTTCCTTTACTTCTACAGCTCACAGTCATCTGGCACAAAGATACACATGTACTTCTTGAATTGCAATGAATCGTTCTCGCTTCAGAGGTAAATAAGAGGAGGGAGCAAAATCAGTCTTGACTCAGTCTGACTCCTCTGAGAAACTATTATGAATAAACAATCAAGAAGTGAAAAGCTGTACTCCTTACCTGGTCTGAGAGGTACAGTGCACCTTGAAAGCCTCTTAAATGACACAGAAGAAATAGAAATAGTTGAAAGTTTTTACTCATCCAACCAAAGGACTCAGGAAATGACTCTTTTGCAACTATTAACTCCTTCCTTACTTCAAAGTCTTTCAAGTACAGTTCCACTGCAGTTTGGTAATGAATGCTCTGCCCTACACATGATTTCTGTTTCATACTGAGAATATGCAGGTGGCCAGAGGAGAAGACTCCCATCACCTCTATGAAAGAGAAAAACTGCAGCGTCTTCTGCATAACTGTGACCAAGTACAATTTTCTGTTGAGTGGCGCTTATGTAATGCAGAAATGACCTAGAGTAATGGCTTGACCTCCCAACTCTCATTTACAGAAGAAGTTTAGAGCAGTGAAGCAACATTCTCATCATGAATTCAGTGTTGTGGTGCCCAAGAGAGGAAGGTAAAAAACAAGGTTGTTTGAAGGAGTGGCATCCCTTGCAGCCTGGACAAGAATTTCATATACATATGGTGTATGATACTTTCACACACAGAGGGTCTCCAGCTGAAAGTCAGGCATCCCGGAGTATCAGGAGTTAGCCCTCTGCATGTAAAACCCCTCTGTGCCTAAAACCCTGTTTTCCTTGCCTAAATGTATATGTTCTGAGACTGAGCTTATAAACACTCACTAGCCTGAAAGATATTAAAGGCCAGCTGCCCACAAGAGCACAAGCTACTTCTGGGGAGTGGACACCTCCATATAGAACCCAGGGTGGCACCTGGGCTTCTGAGCCTGTGGAGAGACCCTGTGTCGGGGTTTTCTGAGACAGGGATGGGGTTGTCTTGCCTAGCTCTGGGCATTTGCACTGTAGATTTCTACACCAGAGTTTGTCATTCAAGGCAACCGAGTATAGGCAGTGGAAAGAAAAGACCTTTGCAAGATTCTTTATCTTGGAATTTTAACATCCAAATGAGAGTTTCTTTTGTTATATCGATATATATATATGCTAGCATGATTTTTTTTAAATGCAATCAAGATTTTATAAAAACAACAACAAAAAAATCTTTATTCTTTGCAAGTTAAGTTTTCCTAATGATTATTTCCAGTAACAAAGACTCAAGAGGCATGCTCCCCCACAAGACACTGGTGAGGCTGGTCTGCACTTGACGTTTATCCTTTTACAGAACACCACAACAAGAATGAGGATACTCAAGGTCCTAGATCTGAGCAGGTGCTTAGTGCTGTCTTGGAATGGAGGACAAAACATTTGTGTGACTCCTCAAGCTATGGCTATTGATGCTATAGGTTCATATGCAGAAACACCAGGGCATTTTACTTTGAAGACTGTTGCAGGACAGAGACTCAAGTTCTTGCTTTGACTCCTCTCACTTCCACATATAAAAAATTGAAACCAACTGTCAGTATTCTCACCATGAGCCCACAGGTAAACAGGAAGGAGTTTCAGTCGCATAGCCTCAAAGAGTACAAAATATATTAAATCAAACCCCCTAAAAACTCCTCCAAAAAGAGAGATTTGATTTGCTTCTTTGGTTGTTATTTTTGTAAACAATCTTCTTTTAGCTGAAATATAGCAGGCTAGAAATAGAGCTTTTTATTTTCCAGTTTTTGATCCTTAAGGCTACAAATAATTAATATTTTGCAACTTTAAATTCACTACTATTTTTAAAGAAGCTTTCCTCTCTAAAACTGGGGAAAGAAACTTTCAGAATGAAAAGACCCAGCATGTACTTTTGGCAAAAAATCATTTAAATTCTACAGTCCTGGAGTATTATAATGATGTATTACTACAGTACAATACAGTGTGATATATCATAGTATGATGAAAAGAAAATTATTTAATAATTAAATCTACTACTTCTACAAGGTAGTCAATTTGATGATGTTTTGACCATGCTAACATTTCCTCAGAAAGCAATAAAGTGATAAGAAAGGATCCCTCTAAAGACTGGTCATATCTTTCAGAATGATTATGAAAAACAGTGTGAATATTTATGGGTGAGTTTCCTTTGGGTAGAGTCCACATTTGGCTTCTCACTTTGCTCAGCAGGCTCTGGACTTCACTTTGAGAGTCTTCCCTGGAGCTGTTTCAAGCAGTCTATGAGTATTTAGGTTCCTGTCTTTGTTGGTAAAAAACCTGCATTCAACTGTGTTTTCCTGAGAGACAGGGACATGACTTTTGTGTAAGATATTTTAAACTAGTCTGGTGGCATTTTAGACTTTTTTTTTTTTTAAGTGATGTTAGAAAGCTCCTCAGTATCTTTCCTCAGTATACAGGGACATGACTTTTGTGTAAGATATTTTAAACTAGTCTGGTGGCATTTTAGACTTTTTTTTTTTAAGTGATGTTAGAAAGCTCCACAGTATCTTTCCAGTGCAGAGATCTTCCTCTACAGTCAATCTGCAACAGCCTTGAGGTTGACCTGAATGTGCCTCTGGTTCCTGGAGCTCAGCGGAAGCAGATGCAGATGGGAATCTGATTTGCACAGGGTTCTGGGGGCTGCCCAGCCTCAGGCCACACCAACCCTTTGCATAAAAATAAAAAGAGAAAAAAAGAAACAGTTTTGGGCAGCTGCACTAAAGCTGAATGTTATAACTAATTAACAGCAATGCCATTCCCAGAGAAGCAAACACTGGATTCTCTTCTGCAACTGAGGAGGGCCTGGAGGAATGCAAAATTGCAGGCTAAATACAGGACCTGCTTTGGGGTCTCTCTGATGGACCTAGCCTGTCATTCCATAAGCAGAGGAAGGTCTAACAGTGGGAGGACATGGCACAATGTTAGCTGAAATGTCACAATGTGACATGAAAACAAGAGAGATGCAAGTTGTCATTCCACCTTCCCAGGGGTTCCTGTCTCAGCTTGAGCTGAGCTGTGCAGCTCTGGCTGGAGCTCAGCTTTAGATGCACTGGGACACAAAGAGATCAGCAGCTTGCGCAGGGGGTGGTGGGAGGTCTGTAAGTACAGTGATATGGGAGTGTGACAGTAGGCAACCTCCAAAAAGAAGTCCTGTGATTTGGGAGTAAGAAGATGGAAGACGGGTAAACCTATATGGAAGAAGCAGGAGCAAGGGAGACTGAGAGAAGAAATCCCTGATCTGTGGAAGGAGGACAAGCAGAACAGAGAGGGAGGAAAGAGGGTCTGGTGAATCTATCCTGTATCATAGCAAAGGTGAAAGAAAGGAGAAGAGTTTTCTGAGAACTTCTGCTTCTCTGTCATCCAGCACCAGGAGGTCTTGAGCAGATCTCCAGGGTTCAGGTGCTCAGTCCATTCTAGGCAGGTGAGATAACCATGGCATGAATTGTCCCATAGCAAGGTAAGCTTTTCTGAGGGATGAATGGCAGGCAGGCAACCAGTGAAAAGAATGAGGAGACCCCTGACTCAGAACCAATCTGGTTATCTCCAATCTGTATAACACCCACCCACGCTCAGAACTCAGAAATGGGTTCTGATGCCAAGAGTGATAGGAAAGACAGAATATATGGCAGACAGAATACATGACTTTGACACGCTCAGAACTCAGAAATGGGTTCTGATGCCAAGAGTGATAGGAAAGACAGAATACATGACTTTGGTGCTCATTGTCCAGGTGGCAAAACTCCTTTTTGCCCAATGCTGTTGACCTGTGTGCTATGATGCCATTACACATCTGAAAAAATTCCAGTCCTTAGTTACGACTGATTGTTCATTTTAGTGCTAACATGAAATCACCTGTGGAGCTTTCCAGAAAGGAGACAACTTTGGTGCTCATTGTCCAGGTGGCAAAACTCCTTTTTGCCCAATGCTGTTGACCTGTGTGCTATGATGCCATTACACATCTGAAAACATTCCAGTCCTTAGTTATTGTTCATTTTAGTGCTAACAAGAAGTCACCCGTGGAGCTTTCCAGAAAGGTGATGTTCCTATCAGTTCTTAAGAAACAAGCAGATATCTTGGCCAATTACTTATAGTTAGATTCATTACAGATGTTCTAGGCCCATGGAGGGGTGTTCTGGTGAGAAAGAAAATGTACCTAACAGTTCTTCCTTGCACATGAGATGTGACCTGGCTCCTTGACAGTGTCACAGCCTTCAAGGGTCAAAACATTTTGTCTATCAGTTATTCAACCCCAAATTGCAGGTTTGTGCAATGTTGCCCAAGAGCAAATGAATGGGAAAAATACTCAAAGCAAAAAAATTCACATCAGTGTTTTCAAACTGACATCTTTTCATTTCAGCATAAGAAATTTCTGTCATAGGAAATGAGAGCCAGGTTTGTGCAATGTTGCCCAAGAGCAAATGAATGGGAAAAATACTCAAAGCAAAAAAATTCACATCAGTGTTTTCAAACTGACATCATTTCAGTAGAAGAAATTTCTGTCATAGGAAATGAGAGGTGCTGCCTAATTGAGTGGCAATGGTAGACATGATAATGGGTCTTTGCTTTGTTTGAGATGGGCCTTCCATCCTCTGGGGGAGCATTTCAGTCACTGGACTGCAGAGCCTTTTGGGGACAGGATCTCTCCAACCAGATCTGTTCTACCATAGCCACAGAAACTTCCTACTTTTACACTGAGGTGAGTGTCCTGGTCACACATCTGAACCAAACTGTCTCAGGACTTCCAGAGTCTCTACATCTACTCCCCCTCCAAACACTCACACTCACACTTTCCTCTTGCTTTCTATGCAAAACCAGAGGGATTCTCCAAAGCAGACTCCTGGCATATGTTTTTCTTGCAGCAAAGGTTCAGGTGAATGAGACCTTATTGCAAGCAAGGGGTGAGAAAAGGTCTGTGAAGGAATAGAGGGAGAGTGATGACAGATGGCAGAGGAGAGTTAATACTCTATGATGTGCAAGGGGGGTGGAGAAGCAAGGGAGCAGAGAAAAGAGAGAAAAGCCCTTAGGTAGGAAGCAGGGGGCACAGCCACCAAATCAGGAATAACCAGGCCCATCACATGCATTGTGGCGTGAATCAGAGCACGAGTTCAGATGAAGCATTTGTCTTTCATGTTGTACAAAATATTGAAATATGGTCAGTGCAAAATAAACCTATGATCTGGTGACTGGTGACTGCTCCTGGAGGGAGGTGATGCTTGTAATGAGAACCAAGAGGTGTCTCAGTTTCCTGCAGCTGAA